CATGCGTGCGGCCCGGGTTCGATCCTCAGCACCACATACCAACAAAGATGTTGTGTCCGCCGAGAACTAAAAAATAAATATTAAAAAAAAAAAGAAAGAAAATTCCAGCCCGGTGCAGTGGCTCCTCTCCTGAATCTCAGCAGCTCAGGAGGTTGAGGCAGGAGGATTGATTGCAAGTTCAAAGCCAGCCTCAGCAATAGGAAGGCACTAAGCAAGTCTGTGAGCCCCTGTCTCTAAATAAAATACACAACAGGGCTGGGGATGTGGCTCAGTGGTTGAGTGCCTCTGAGTTCAATCCCTGGTACCCAAAAGAAAGAAAGAAGATTCCATAGCTCTCTGCCAATGGAGATATGACTAGACAACAAAGATGTCTCTGGAGTGCTCTAACTGCTAATGGTAACAGTCATTTGCAAGGCACTTGGTACCATCTCTTCTGTCCTGTCACTTGGAGAGCTGCTGTGGGTCCTGTTTTGTGGGAAGTGGTGGTCCTTCACCTCTCCCACTGGGTAGTTAACTGGCTGGGGGACTGCAGCCCATATTCCTATAGACCAGACGGTGGGCTATTCCAAAACAGAGGCTATATCTTATGCATTTTTCTTCTGCAACACATCTAATCCTGGCAGGTGGGAGGCATGCCTGTAACAAAGGTTCATGACAGAATGAATGATGGTCACGGTGGCTGGGGACCTGCCTGGCCTGCAAAGCTGGCAAGCTTCAGGGAGTAGAGAGCTCCAGGGAGCGCCTTGGGTCCCCTGCACTCAGCTCTGTGTGCTAGCAACCACCCAGCAGGGCAGTGTGATGGTCAGTATTCTGTGTCAGCTTGACTATACTAGAACATCCAGTGTTTTAATCAAACACTAGTCTAGGTGTGGCCTGAAGGGATCTTGTAGCTTTGGCTAACACCTTCTAATCAGTTAACTTTAAGTCAAGGAGATCAACCCCAAAGAAGTGGCTGGGCCTCGTTCAATCATTGACTGCCTTAAGAGCAAAGACTCAAATTTCCTAGAGAAGAAAAAGTTCTTGATGCCTTCATATATGAATATGCAACAGCAAATCCCATCATTATATATAATTATAATACACCATACTACAGTGATGCAGCCACATCAATGTTTATAGCAGCTCAATTCACAATAGCTTATCTGTGGAACCAACCAAGATGCCCATCAGTAGATAGATGGATAAAGAGACTGGTATGTATACACAATGGACTGTTTCTCAGCATTAAAAAAGAATAAAATTATGGCATTTGCACGTAAATGGATAGAGCTGGAGAACATCATGCTACATAAAGTAAGCCAGTCCCATAAAATGAAAGGCAGAATGTTTTCTCAGATTAGTGGGTGCTGATTAATAGGGGGGGGGGGAGGGGGGCATGGGAAGAATGGAGGAACTTTGGAATGGGCAAAGAGGAGGGTGGGGGAGGGAAGGGGGTGTGGGGCAGGAAAGATGGTGGAATGAGACAAACATCATTACCCTAGATACATGTATAATGGCACGAATGGTACAACTCTACATCGTGTACAACCAGAGAATTGAAAAGTTACGCTCCATTGTGTACAATGAATTGAAATACATTCTGCTGTCATGTATAACTAAGCAGAATAAATAAAACATAGAAAAATTATAATGCACCAACAAAAAAACATGGAATAAAAGAAAAAGTTCTGCCTCTAGACTTCAGTATTAACTCCTACCTGTGGGCCTAGCCTACAAATTTTAGACTTACAAACCCCCACAACTGCATGAGCCAATTCCTTAAAATAAATCTCTTAATTTATGCACCCTATCAGTTCTGATTGTCTAGAGAATCTTTAATGATGTATCCCCAACGTCTTCCTAAATGTCTCTCCATTCTACCCACTACCCCCGCCCCCCACATACAAACATTCCAACATTAAACTCCAAATCATCCTGGTGAAATCTGCATAAATTTTAACTTGGCAATGTAGAAATTATTACAAAGTTGCTGTTAATCTTGGTCCAAACTCAGCCCCACATACAGTTAGAAATCACTCAGGATTTCAAGTCCCATTAGTCATATCTCTACTGGCAAAGCAATGTGAAAAACTAGGGCAATTATCTAGTCTGTGAGCTCCCTGGAGACAGGCCTGGCAGAGGCAGCTTCATTTATATCCCACACAGACCCAGGTGTTGACATGCGGTGGCTGATCAATACGTGCTGAGCTGAGAGAGGCGGGGGGCGCTGCCACTTTCCTGCCCTGCCAGCCCACAGTGGCCGCAGAGCCAGGCAGACCTGGCTCACCTGAGCTCACCTGCTAATGGTCTTAATTCTGTGACACATTAAAGAATAGCCATCTTACAAGAGTGGTAATTATTTGGAACCAGAAATCAGGAGAACTCATTAGTTAGAGTACAATTTATAAACTGACTAAAATGAAAAGGGGGCAGTAAAAATGTCATTGCAGAAAATAGATGACACATTAAACCTTAATTAATTGCATGTCACTTAAAAAAGGAACAAACTGCAAAATTAAAATCTTAATGAACACTGCATGAAAGAGACATTTTTCAAATGCTAATGGAAAACGAAAGGAACAGCTGTCCAGAGCACAGCGTTCTCCTTCCTTTTGTCCCCACCTTTTCAAAGTGCTCAGAAAATACAAACACCCCAAAGAACAAGAGCCATTGTGATTGCCATGCAGTTCTAGGATCTGAGTGGTGCTTAATTAGGGATTCACTTCCTAAGAAACCACTGCTAAGGATGACATTGATGGCCAGGACATAGCAGGTAAATTATGAACGACAAGCACAGTTACCCTTCAGTGTCCACAGGGGATTGCTTCCAAGACCCCCATGGACACCAAATTCCAAGGATGCTCAAGTCCCTTGTAGAAAATGGCATGATCTTTGCATATAACCCATGCACTTCCATAGACACCAAACCATTTCTAGATTACTTATAAAACCTAAGGCAAGGTAAATGCCGTGTAAACAGTTGCTAGGCTGCATTGTCTAGTGACCAGTGACAAGGTAACAGGTCTGTACCGGTTCCATACAAATGCATTTTTTAGAGATATTTTATATCTGTAGTTGCCTGAATCCATGGAACAGAACCCAGGACATGGGAGGATCAACTGTACTGATGATTAACATTTTACTTGAGTACCTTTAAATGGATATAGAGAACTTCCAAAATGCTACTGTGTCCACCTTCTTCCAGGAGACCACTAGCCTCCTACCCAACAGTGCTCAAACCTGTGGACCAAGGGTGGGCTCTTGCCAATGGGTCCACTTGCTACATTGCTGACAGCTACGAGTTGTCTGCACAAAATCATCCTCTATTTTATTCAAAGCAACATACTCAATTCTAGGCAATGGATCATAATGGTCCAGCCTAAGACTGCCCAACCTCAGAATTATTGGCATTTTTGTCCATGCTTGTGGTGAGGGCTGTCCTGTGCAGCGAAGGACTTTTAACAGCATCTCTGGTGACTGCTCAAGAGATATCAGTAGCACTCCACCAGCTGTGACAACCAGAAATGTATCCAGCTTTTCCAAATGTCACCTGGGGGGCAATATCGTCCCTGACTCTGAACTCTTGGTCTAACCTAATGACCGAAGTCTGCTTCCCATTTGTCCGGCTGCCTGTGTCCAAGCAACCTTGTGCTGGCCAGAGCCCCATGGGGTATTCACCTCCTGAGAACAGGGACAAGTGTGTTTGCTGCTGTTGCCACTGCCACCTACCAGAGGACTGGTGACTCTCTTGGAATCAAGAGGTGACAAAGCAGGAAGCTAAGGGAAATGATGAACAGGAGAAGAAAATCAGGTCCATGTTGTCTTCTCTGAACCAAGGCCAGCTTTGGCAGTGACCACCAACCTTAAGACTCCTAGTGAGATATGAGGAAAAGACACCTGTCTAATCCACTCTCAAGCCAGGACTTCTGCTACTGCAGTGGAAAACATCCCAAACTAGGCCAAAGGGGGAAAAATGATGTTCCCGCCCTCTCAGTTCACTTTCCCTGGGAGTCAGCCAGGCCTCCAGGACAGTGGAGGCGGGGGTGCAGTAGTCACTTTCTTTCTTCTCCACCAGCCCCCACCCTGACGGCATCCTTCCTAGGCAGCCCAGCCCAGGCTGCCCTCCTGCCACAGGAGGTGACACACCACAAGGGTGGGCCAGCCCCTGCCAGCTTCCTGCTGGGCCACCTCTAGCCTGTGTCTGGGGCACTGTGTGTGTAATCAGCGCAGCAAGTCAGGATTGCAGGGTCACGGGGAGAGCCTGCTGCCCAGCCCAGTGGGACTGAGGAGCTACCTCCATGGCACGGCAAGTGGGAAAGGTGTACCCGGCCCCCATGAGGGGCCAGAATTGGAAGACAAATCCCCCAGTGTCCTTGTCCCTTGGGGTATCTCCCAGATGGATCCTGCCCATCTCTCAGAGGGCCCAGCAGGGCTGAGTCCCAGTCACCCACCAGCAACCTGCTCAGGAGCCTGAGGTCACCCTATTAGCACTGTCTCTTCCTAACTCACTCCCCCAACCCGCACCCTGCCATGCTGCTTCCCCAAAGCAACCTTTGAAAAAAATCTACTTGTCCTCAAGTCCTTGTCTCAGGGTTTGATTTGGGGGTGGAGGGGTGTGGTATGAATTTCCTGACCTAATTTTTCTCTAATAACGTGAAACAACTCCAGTGTGGCAAATTTTCAGTTCTCAAAAAATTCCCATTTTCTTCATAAACAGAAAGCAACGTCTTAGTAGAAGTCCCTGGTTTACCAGAAGTCTAGTCAGGGCTTGCCGGAGATGAGCAGGACCGTGGAGCAAGAACACAGTGTCTTTTCTGGCTCTTCATCTTCCTCTTCATCTATGTGCTCCCTGGAATCGTGCAAGATGCAGGCCTTTGAAAGTTCCTCCTCCCGCGGCAGCAGCCTTCCTTTACGCCGCCCTTCAGTATAAACAGGGGCTCTCGAAAGCAACCTGAAACTGGCAGTCTCCATAAAAAAATCCTGTCCTCCATGCAGCTTCTCAGAGCCAACTGATTTAAATAGACTTGTCACTCTGGGACATTAATATTCCACTGAATCAACAAGGTTCTGCTGCCTCCCTTGGGATTGTCATCAGCACAGACGACAATATTAGGAAGCCAAATCCAAAGACCCACTGAACCAGGTTTCCAGAATTCGGTTATATTTTCTATTTAAATTAAAATTTTTGATACTTCTAACATCCTTTTGTTCTAGTGCACATGCAGACCCAAGCTGATCTGTACCTGTACGTTACAGATGGTGAGAAAATCTAAACAGTTGAGGATTTCATCCAATTTGATCATTTATCACATGTAAGCTGAAATGTTTGCTATTGAAAATAAACTGCAACTCAGAAACTCAGGTGCAGAAAAACATTCAGGAAACGAAGATCACCTCATCTAAAGAACTTAGAAAGGCATGTTTTCATATGCAGTAATGGTTGCGCACTTTACTTTTCAAATTATCGCAGGATGACCGTTCTGCAGTTAACTCCTGGGTAGCCTTCCTAAGCTATGCATGGACTCACTCCATGTTGAAGGGTCTGTCAATCTACAAGAAATGCTCAGGTTGTTGGGAACTTTCAATGCTTTAAGTTCTCCTGATATGGATATGTTTAAATGGAAATAAGAGACATAAAAATAGTTGAGAATTGTAATCTAACTTAGTAGTGACAATAGCAAATGACCACTCCCAACTAAAGCCTAAGGGGGCAGCTTGAATGCTCCCTGGAAAAGGTCTCCTCTTTATTTTAGACAACAGAGAACCAGCTGGGAGGGAGAAACATATCTAAGAACAAAAGGATCTGCTCTTTTTTCATCCTTTCTCACTTATTAGTTATAACAATAGTCGCCGTCCCCCCCCCACCCCCACAGAGGATGTTTGGCAGTGCCTGGGACATTTCTGGCTGTCATGACTGGGGATACTTCAGCCATCTAGAGGGTAGAGTCCAGGGACACCACTGAACAACCTACAGTTGTCGGAACCTCCCCCCGCCACAACATGAACTTATCTGGCCCCAAATCTCAAAATCATGCCAAGGTTAAGAAACCCCTGAGTGACATGCTTACTGCCCTAGTAAGTTAAAGGTCTCATCACAGGATATTTTTCAAAGAGAAAAATATGCCTTGTTCTTTTATTCACTTAATGAATAACTACAGAATACATAAACTCCCTAATAATGGTAACAACACAATCCTAAGTGGCATGCCCTGATGGCAGGCATCTAGGGTGGCCCTGGCAAGAGAGAGCTCCCTCCCTCAGCACCATCACAGCTTCCATCCCAGAAAAGAGGAAACCGCAGTCCAGAAAGGCAAGTGACTGCCACAGGTATGGAGCTGGGTCGAAGCCTGCGCCCTGGCTTTCTGGGTCACTTACCCCACCCCCACCCCCCACCCCCGCTCTGTAGCAGCACAGTGCAGAGGGAAGCCCGAGGCATGGACAGGCAGGGCCTGTGCCTACAAGGGCTCCAGACTTCACTGGGGGAGAACTCCCGGGGGGACAGGGAAGAGCATCTACAGACCCGATGTGTAATCCGTAACCACAGCTGGTGGGATGCAGGTGACCTTAACACCCAGCCCATCGCCCCCAGCACCATCTCCCCAAGAGATGTGGAGGGCATTTCTGAGATCCTATAAATACTGCAGCAAATGCCGGAAACTTGATAGTGAGACTGAGCCCCTCATGTTTTCCAGGGCGATTAGAAGGCAACTGACCTCCCACCAAAAGGAAAAAAAAAGTTGGTAATTCAAATTAACTTATTGGGAAAAATGCATTTGATGTGACTGACACCATACACTGTCAGTTGAAAAAGTAAATTACTAAAAATCTGCACTCAATTAAAACTCAATCCAAAAGGAATGAAAGCAGATGAAGCTTCTGCCACTCACAAGAGCATCTCACAATCACCATTTAACTAGGAGGGACCGCTTCTCACTGACACCGGACAGGCAGGGCCTAACCTCTGCTGAAACTGAGCTTTTCAAAACTAAAACTGCCACTGAACCGAAAGCACAACCAATGGGATTAATTTTAATTATGATCCTTTTATATTTCTAAGTAGATTTGCAATCTTCAAAACCTCCATCCTTGTTCTTTGGGTTTATTTGTCCTATAGCATCCTGTAAGACTCGGAGTTTAAAGCAGGAGGAAAAAAATTAAAAGTTGTAAATCCCCAAATCCCAGATGGATGAAAGAAAAACAGGCTCAGGTCGGGGTGCACCACACAATGCCGAGTCATAAACAATACATGAAGGCAAACTGTCACGGGCCAGAGGCAACCGGGAACACATGACAACTAGACAGGGAGCCAGCTCGGGTCCTGGGACAGAGAAGGAGCATTAACGGAGGAGACGGGATCTGGAAGAGCTCTGATGGCATTCCCAGGAGAACCACCATCTGAACGTTGGCCCCCCCAGACTTCATAGTGTGGCACTCCATACCCCAGGGGATGGTATAAAGAGGTGGGGGCTTTAGGAGGTGCTTGGTCACAGGGTGGGCCTCAGGAATGGGATTGGTGCCCTCATGCAAGAGGCCAGAGGGTGCCTCCAGCCCTTCCGATAGGGGAGGACATGACAAGAGGGAAGAGGCCCCCACGGGACATCAGTCTGCTGGTGCCTTGATCTTGGCTTCCCTGCCTCTGAACTGTGAGCAGTAAACATATTGTTTATAAATCATCCCGCCTGGTATTTTGCTACAGCAGCAAGAATGGACTAAGAGAGGGAAAATGTCAGCTCTTCAGGAACTCGTAGCACTAAGCAGAACTGGCTGACCCCCTGTGCCACAGCCAAAAATAAAGACAAATTAAGGCAGCAAACGAATAGGAGCAACAGCTCTTGGATATTGAGTGCATTACATGTACTTAGACCCATCTTCTCCCTTAATTCTCCAAATAACCTGGTGAGGTGGCACTAAAGGCTATCCCGGACCCCAGTTTCAAGTGGAAAAGAATTAGAAGTTCATCAGAAGGAATTTGGTTTAGTAGCTCATTAAAACTGCACAGCCCTTGAGAGTTTGTAAACTATCTCGTCCTCAGGCAGGAGGGACAGAAAGAGGTCATGACCCCCATTTTGCAGATGGGGACCGGTGAGTGTCTTCTCCAGGCTGACAAGGACCTAAGGGACAAAGGGGGCTGCCCTGTTGGTCCCAAGCTGAAGCCTGGAACTTTCCACTGACTCTGGAAACTGCCACACAGCACTTCATCCTGCAGCTCCAACTGCCAGCAAGCAGGAGGCAGCCTGGTCTGGACCACCCCCTCCTGTGCCCTCTCCAGCAGCCGTGGGCCCACCCAGGCCAAGACCAGAATGCACATTTCTGAAGAGCAGATGTGCACAGGCTGGGAGCAGATGTGTGGGTGGGAGGAAGCCAAGGGCAAGGGAAGGCCTCACTCCTCCCAGAGCTCAGCACTGACCTGCCAGCGGCTGGCTGTGACCCGGAAGGCAACTGTCACCACCTCAACAAAGACCCCATTCTTCGTGGCATCTGCCAGGCTGTTTCCATGGGGACGATTCGTCTCTTTGGGGGACGTCCTTTAAAGGAGTCAGTTACTTCCAGGGCCCACAGGTGCGAGGGACAAGAGGCACGTACCTGCGAGCATCAGGGCTCTGACGCACTCCGTCCGGCCCTGCATAGCTGCCTTCATCAGGGCGGTGAAGCCAAACGCGTTCCTCCTCTCAAGGTCAAGACCAGGGAAATAGTTCAACAGGTAGTTGGTGATGGTGGCGTGCCCTGAAAGAGAAGGGTACACGTGTGGGTCTCACTCACACGAGGCCTCCAGAGGGACCGGGGGGTGTCGGGGGTGGCGCAGGCAGAAGCCAGGCCCCGGGCAGCTTCCTGCTCGGCACGTTTTCCTCTCTGATCTCCAGACAATCCTTCCAGAGCCCAGGAAGCAGGAGGAGGCAGAGGCCCCTGTCCTGGCCACATGGATGTCTCAGGTTCACTCAGGGCCCTTCAGCCACCCACCTGAGTGGTGCAGGGTCCCACCGTGCGGCAGAGGAGGCTGGGCAGGGACAGCAGTGTCATCACAGGCAGGCGCTGGCAGCTCCCAGCTGGAGCCGCCGGGGCAGACAGAAGCTAAGCCAGGACTGAGCCTCCGAAGCATTTCCAAGTGCTCCGGTGCTCCAGGGAGGAAAGGCTCATCGTCATAGCAAGGAGATAACACCAGCTCACGCTCACACCTCTGCTGCCACTCAGAAGAGAGTGTCTGTCCCTCCCTCCCTCCCTCCCCACCCCCCACTCACACATGATCACAAGGAGGCTGCCTCAGCCACAGCCCTGAGCAGCTGAGAAGCTTCAGGAAACTCATTAGGGAGTATAGATTTCTCCCCTTTCTCATCTTGCTCCTCCAAAAACGGATCCAATTTTCTGCTTATTGCCAGAGATATTCTCAAAAAGCCCAAGGTGCTCTCGGTCGGGGTGAAAAGGAGACCATTGTGCAAAAGGCAATAGTTCAAGCATCCATCCCTGGAAAACCCTGTCTCAAGTAGAGCTTCCTGAGCCACAAGGTGGCTCCGGGGTCTGCCACCCAAGCCCAAGGCTAGCCCACCCCTCAGCCTTTCTGTGCTGGACTCCCCCGACCACACACACACGGGACCACATACACACCTCGGTTCCCTACAGCATCCTGGCACTGGGTGGGATCACTCTGGGGTGCAGCTGTCCTGGGCCCTGAAGGACCGCTAGCAGCACCTAGTCTCGACCCACGAAGTGCCAACAGCCACGAAACCCCAACTCCTGCCCCAACTGTGGCAACAATATATGGGCCCAGACACTGCCACCTGTCCCCTCGTAGGGTGGGAACGGGAGGGGGTACAATCACCTGGTTGAGAACTACTGACCTAGAGGACCCTTCCTCACTGTCCCAGGACTAACCACACCAAGTGGGAAACAGATCCTCTCCCAGCGCCTTTGTCCCTGGCCCTGGCTAGCCATGCCCCCAGCTGCCTGCCCCATCCCATCCTGGCCCCTGCAGGTGATGGTGAGCATGCCCTTGGGGATGTGAGCACTCTGCACAAGTCCCTCTTGCAGAGCCCCAGGGCGGTGCTGGGTGTGCAGCCACATCCGTCCTGACATACCAACAGCCGGCCATCTGCAGCCTCCCAGGTCACTGTTACGCCCAGCTCCACGTCAGGGCCACAAGCTTGGACCTCATGGACACTTCCCTGCACCCCTCTGGTTAACCCAGCATCTCCCCCACCCCAAGGAAGCCCCCAGCCTTGGAGGAGCCAGGACCCCCAGGGTTAGACTCTCCAATTTCAGGACAGAGGCCTCCAATGGATGGCACTGTGTGGGGGGAGAGGAGATGAGGCCATCATTCTTCTGAGGTGGGACAGACATGAGTCTCTGCCTGCAGACTGAGAGGGCTGAGTGGGCTGGAGGCTCCCTGCCGTGGCCCAGGCCTCCCCCAGGGCCCGGCGCCAGCTTCAGCATCACGAGAAGGGAATACCAGACCCTGTGGATGCACTCCGTGGCTCCTGTCTTCCCCACGACAGCCACCTGTCAACCACGGCACCCGGGCTGGAGCCCAGAGCCTCCCTCCGTGGACACAGACACACATCATAAATGCAACATCTGAGGCTCCTGGACATGAGGACCACATACGCTGTGGGATGTCGGATGGGAACCGGGGACAGGAAAATCTGGGGAAATCCAAATAAAGAGGGGACTTTCGTTAATAACTACACATGGCCACAGGCTCAGTCCTTGGTCAACAGCGTGACACTAATGCAGATCTGAGCAACAGATGAAACTGGGTGCGAGATGCACAGGAATTCTCTGTACAATTTGCAGTTTTTCTATAAGCCTAGAGTGTTCTAAAATCTAAAATCTGTTTTTAAAAAAAGAGAATGAGCTCAGGGCCACTCCAAAAGAGTGCAAGGCAGGGACAAGGATTCCCAGCCACTGCCTGATGAGGATCCTATCCATCCTGTTCGCCAGCGCTACCCTGTGGCAGGAGGTCACCAGGATGCTGGCGTAGGCGCACACAGGAGGCAGAGGATGGTGGCCAGACGGGGAGGGCAGGAGGAGGGAGACGAGTGGTTGATTCAGCGTGCTTCTCACCAAGTGAGTGGACAGGCCACAGCGCAAGAGCAGGAGGAAAGCCACAGCCAACTCCGGCTCCACCCCGGCCCCAGGCTCTGGGTCCACGTAGCAATGGCGTCTCCACCCAGAGCACAGGAGGTGGTAGAAGTCCCTGGTACCCGAGCCTGAGGGGCCGCTTGGCCTGGCCCACTCCTGTGCTTCCTGGTTGACTACCCACCAAGCATGTGGGAAATTTTGAACTTTTTACGGCCTGAAGCCACCTGCCTCATGGCAAGCTCCTCTCCTAGGAGATGACTCACCTCCTACTTCAGAGGGAACAGAAACCACAGAAGGGAACCCCTCAGCTTTCCCCCATCATCCCACAAACTGCCCCACGTCACCAGCAGTCTCCTAGTGAACACCCAGGGGAGTGCGGCAAATATTCATCAAGTGAAACAGACAGAAAGGTTCCTGCTTCTCCCCTTGACGCAGAAGCTCATTTATTGAAAGGTTTCCGATTATCAAGACAACACAACTAATCACTGATTCATTCAACCATTCCTGAGGCCGGTTAGGGGGTAAGGATCGTGTTGTCACTAAGAACATAGTAACAAATAAAACGGGGACTCCTTGATTCCAGGAAAGGAAACAGAAAATAAAAAGACGACAGAATTCAGGTTGCCTAAAAACCTGGCTGCTGTCACTCCAGGTGCTCAAAATGTAGTTCCCGAAACCAGGCCAGTAGAGGGAACTGTCGGCTTTGGAAATACAGCATCCCACCCGCCAGAAGGAGAGCAGGACTCTCCCAGGAATTCTTCCGCGGAGCAGGGGGGGAGCAGATGGGGGGGCAGAGCTGGCTGCCTGCAGAACAGGCCAAGACTGATGGAGGGTGGGGCTGGGCTGCCAGGCTCCCTCCTGCCTGCCCAGCTCAGAGAGGGGCGGTACCCTGCTCCCAAGGAAGGACCTCACAGGAATACAGAGGCCCACAGGAAAATGCTGGGCAGGGGCAGGAAACCCGGGATTTGCCAGGCCCTTTAGGAAGCAATTCAGAACAATCTCTGTGCATTGCTTCTCTCCCTCTGTGCCTGCTTCTGGCCTGGGAGGCTGGCCTCCTCCTGCACCTGCTGGGGTTGCTACCCCTGAAGTTTCAGACGGGCTTATCAGGAGACTGGCCTGGCCTCCCAGCTCAGCCCCAGGTTGGAGTGGCAGCCTTCTGGGCCTGGGCCACCCTCACAGGGTCTGTCTCCACCCTCCAAGCCATGATTCCCCTAACCCTGCCCTGCCACCTGGAGTGAGCTCCTTCATCAGTGCCTCCAGTCCGCTTGCCACTCACTCTGCTTCCTGCCACCTGGGCTGACACTGCAGACAGTCGTGCCTGCTCACAGGACCCAGTGCAGCCTTGATCACATGGCTCATTCAAGACCTGCCCACCCAGTAGCTGTGGGGCACATAAGTGAGCCTCGGTTCCTCCATTCCACACAGTATCTTCTTTTAAAACAAATACTTATTCAGCAAGTCCTTCAAGAAGAAGGGCTGTGAGGAGAGCCAGGTCCACTGCAGTAAGCAAAAGCAACATGCTCCCTCCTCCTTGCCACACGTGGGTCTCAGTGGAAAGTACAGGGAGCACAGGTCACCCTCAGGAGGGTGGCTGTGAGGACCAGGAGGACACAGAAGGAGCTTCTAGCCAGACCAAGGGCAGAGGATTACAATCACCAGCTTATCCTGGTTGTGCAAGTTACAAGTGTGTGTGCACGTGTGTGAGGTCTGACTGCAGCTGGCTGCACTGTGGCTCCTGGGGACCCAAGTGCTGACTGGGAACAGAGAGTCAGGAGGGGGACAGGGGCTCTCTCTTCCACTCCCTCCTTCTCTCCTATTAATTCTGCTGTGACTTTCCTTTAGTTGTCAGCACCTATTTTACAACTTTTGGAATCATCAAGAGGATGACTACAGAATGGTGTTGGAGCAGAAGAGCCCCCCTTGGTAAAACGGGGAGCCGTGAGCAGCTCCTCGTTCCCTTCCTGGCTTTCACATTAACATCACAGTCTCTGTGTTCCTCTACGGACCTCACTTGGGGTAGTGGAGACAGGCCACCTTGGGGAAGCGGAAGGGATTATTACACGGATCTAAGTACATCAGGGCAAAAGTCTGGCAGAGCCCTGCAGATGAGAAGCAGGGGTGGGGAAGAGCTGGTCCTCATGGATGCCCTGAGACCCATTCTCACACTCTTCAACACTCCGGACATGTGAGGCCAAGATGGGCCCTGTGCCTGGGGGTCAGCCTTCTCCAGAGGTAACCGCAGGCAGAGGGTGGGCTGCCCCCTGCTCCCGTGGCAGCCCCACCACACTTGGCTGAGAAGAAATCTGTAGTGCGGGTGTTAGGTAGTAGCGAGGAATGAGCAGGAATGCGTGGCTTGGTCACAGGTGTTCTTCAGATTAGTTTAGTGTCTTCTTTAAACCACTTGCAAAGTGGAAAAGAAAGCCAAGGGCGGCAGTTAATTTGTAGAAGAGAAACAGAAGCAAAGGAACAAATGGGAAAACATGTTAAGAGGAAAGGATTAATGGGTCTATCTCTGGACAGGGTCCACTGAGTTGATGTGAAGTTAGGAATTACGCCTGTAAGTGTCTCCAGCTGTCTGGGAAGGAAGATTCCTTTAGTAGCACAGTGCACTAAGGTAACTCCTGACCAGCTGCTGACCCCGGTGCCCACATAACATGGGGTTGACTTGCAGATGAAGCCCCCCTAAATAGGATGTCCACCATGACAGTTCTGGAGAGAACCGACTAAGGTCAAAAACTCCACCACCCGACGTGAAGGAGCTGAACACCTGATTGTCAAAGAGTGCAGAGGTGGTCCCCAGCTCTCCTGGTCAACATCAAACAGTAATAAATTGGGGACAGCGTCGTCTCCTTTGTTGTTCTCTTCTCAGAGACGAGCCTCGCTTTGCTTTTACGTGGCTTTCATCTCACTTTCTCTCTACTATCACTTACAATAATAAAGTTCTCTTGCTTGGCTTTTGGTGTCTGTCTTTAAACTTCCTCTCATCGGAACACAGGAACAAAGGTTTGGAGTTTTGCCTCCCTCCCTGACACAGGGATGTCTGCAGGGTGGGAGCAGGACCCACCCTGTTGAGTGCTTCCTGCCACAGCCCAGGTCCTGGTCCTGGGCTGAGCCACTGCAGCCCTTCCTTCCCCAGGACACAGGCCTCCTGGGACTCAAGTCAGGGCTGGGCAAGGGCAGCCCAATGCAAGAGAAAGAAAATCTCCTGCTCAGTGTGAGGACAGTGACGTTCAGAACCAAGTGGGGCAGCCACAGGATCGGGGCAAGGTGCAAGGCAGATTCAGGGCAGGAAGGAAGAGGAGCAGGGGCCCTGTGAGCCAGGGCCTGTCCAGCGCAGAGCTCACCGCCCGTGAAGCTGGCCCTGTTCCTGGAACCCAAAAGGGCAGATCCCCTTCAGGGTGGCGAGTTGAAGGGGCTCAACAGTGAAGTAATCTCGCCTCCCATCAGAGTTCATCAACAAAGGGGCATGAAGGGAAGGGAGTGGGGATGAGAATAGGAAAGATGGTGGAGTAGACCAGACATAACTCTCCTACGTTCATATATGAATATACCATCAGTGTAACTCCACGTCGTGCACAACCACAGGACAGGATCCTCATCAGAACAATTTCTACTCCGCGTATTACAATACGTCAAAATACACTCTACTGTCATGTCTACTTAAAAATAACAACAACAAGAAATTTCAGCAGCAAAACTATGAAGGTGTTTTCAGAGCAATGGGGGGAGTTTGACTATTGGTCTGAGATATAATAAATAATTTCACTGAGTCAATGTGGGATTTGTTGGATGTGGCAGGGAGGCGTTTTGCCTGCTGTTGAGATCCTGCTGGCGTAGGTCAGGGGGTGTCTGCCACTAACTCTAATGGGTCAGCAGAGAAAGCAGCAAATTGGCCCAGTGGCCGGCCACTGTGGAACCTTCTGAGCAGACTCTCTTACTTTTCATTCAACTGTTCTCAATTTCTCAGACCAAAGTTTTGGGCCACACGTGGCGGCACACACCTACAATCCCAGCAGCTCGGGAGAGGCTGAGGCAGGAGGATCTCAAGTTCAAAGCCAGCCTCAGCAATTTAGCAAGGCCCTAATCAACTTAGTGAGACCTTGTCTCAAAGGAAGAAGAACAGAAAGGGCTGGGATGTGGCTCAGGGGCTCGGCACCCTGGTTCACCCCCCGGTACCAACAGGCAAACAACTGGGGGAACTACTTGCCAACTTGAGCTTTCTACAGAAAGCACTGGGAAATGGCCGCCAAACCAGGAGTGGGGGACCTGAGGGGTTTCCCTGGACCCTGGAGTGAAAGGATGCAGACAGAATGGTGAGACAAAACTGGAGCTGGACAGCTGACCTCATCTCCAGGTGCAGGGACACCCAAGGGGGGCACAAACAAAACAAGGCAGACCCCGAGCCAGACATGGGGGCAGGGGAGTTTCCTAAAGGAAAAACACTGAGTTTAAGTCAAACAAACACAAAAAGGGCACGCAGTGGGGGTGTGGATTCCTCTCCCAGTGTCAAGGGTGGGCTGGGAGCTCCCCCAGGTAGGGCACTGTTTCAGCTTTTCACTGCTGGGACTGGAAGATCTGACCAGAACAATGCAGAGAAGGAAAGTGTAACCGAAGGCTCACAGTTCAGAGGTGTTAGTCCATAGAAGGCCAGCTCCATGGCTCAGGCTCAGGGCGCAGCAGGCCATCACGGTGGGAGAGGATGGCAGAGGGAAGTGGCTCACATGGTGATCAGGAGGCAGAGAGACCACTGGCCAGATACCCCCAAGCCCCGCCTTCAGGCCCTCCGGCCACGCCCACCTCCCCCGGCCACGCCCACCACTTCAGCTGCCACTCAGTTAATTCCATCAGGGGATTCATCACTGGCTGGTGAAGGTTCTCACCACCCCGTCATTTCTCCTCTGAACCTTCTTGCACTGTTCCACACGTGAGCTTTGGGGGGACCCCCCCACCCAAGCCATAACAGAGATGCAGAGAGCAGGCTGGGCCCCACCTCTTCCTCTGTGAGACTAAAGGAAACGGAGGAAATGAGGGAGGGAGGGGTGCGCTATTTTTCTAGATAAATTGTTACTTACATGTGAATACAAAATAAAACCGGTTTTAAACAGTCCCAGTGAACACGCCCACAAATTAATGAGAAAAGGAGCCTCCTTCCCTCCCGTTCTCACGCTGCTCAGGATCCTACCCCGTCCTCTGCCCTCAGGGTCCCCCATCCCAGCAAACCCAGCTTTTGCCAGGAGGGACAGCGAGGACAGTGCTGTCCTCTCCGCCGCCAGCCAGGTCGGCTCACTCGATGTCTCACAGCATTTCAAAGGCCCCGTGGCCAGAACGGAGCCTGTGTGTCTCCCAACTCCCTGTTCTCTGTCCCCTCTGCAGCCGGCGCCGACCCTGTGCAGATGCCTGCCCACAACGCCCACCGCTCACCCTTCTCCACTGCCCACCTCACATCCTCTGACAACAGTGCTCCAGCCACACGCTCTGGAACCTCCTGGGGCCCCAACACCACACACTAGGCCCCATGCCACTGGAATGCATCCCCTTGCACCAGACCCTTAGTGATCAGGCCCCTGCCTTCTTCAAGGGCCTCTCGTCTCTCCCAGGCATCTTCATCCTACCACCAACCCCCTGCTCTGTCCCTCAGACCAGCCATTCCTGAGATTCTCTCAGTGCCACCTCGGCCCCAGGGCTTTGCAATCCTTTGTATCAAAGGACCTGCCTCTGACTTCTAGAACACTGGACCCAAGCCACCTCTTCAGCGATCCCTGCCCTGGGCATCCAGGCCAGATGGAGTGATCTTATTCCATGACATCCAGGGCACCCCTTCATCAGAGCCCCAACAGACAGCGCTGGGTTCCACATCTACTTCTGTCCCGTGAGCTAGAAAATGACTCAAGGACAAAGCCTCCCCTTCTGGTGAGTCCTGGTCCCTGACACGGTGCCTGGCCCACCAGAGCCACCAGAGGTTCTGATCACCAAGCACCTCACCATGGCCTTTCACATGCTTGCTGCTCTCCAAGTTGTGGCCTCGGCTTGCAGTGCCTGGAGTCCTCAATGGAGACCACACATAGGGCAACAGGTGTTAGCACAAACCCTGGTCCTTTCTGAGTTTCGGGAGCCATCTGCCCTGTGTCCTGAAGGACAAGAGGGGTGCACAGACCACCGCCCACTCTGCCGAATGAAACCATCGTATACGGTTTCCAGTTTTCCTAGGGACCCCAATCAGATCCACCTAGGCAAGCACTGACACAGCAACCAAGGCAGCAAGAAGGGACAGGAGGTCTGTCTTTGGGGACAACAGCAGACACTTCCTTACCAAGGTCAAGGGACCGTGTGGTTTGGAGCATTTCTCCGGCTTCTTGGCCCTGGGCCCCGTTCGTGAACAACTACCTTAAGTTCCTTAATACACAAACCCTTCTCTTTCTGGTTCAGTCTGAGGCAGCTGCATTACCTGCATTTGAGGTCTTGACTGATGAGACAGATACACAGTTGTCCCTCCTCGGGGACTTCAAGGCCTACATGCCTTCTAGAAAATGGCATAGTATTTGCATATAACTTACACATCTGCCTGCACACTTTAAATCTCTAGATTACTGATAACACCTACTTCAACGTAAATACTACATTAAAACAGTTGTTACACTGAATTGTTTAGAGAATAATAACACGAAAAAAATCTGAATGTGTTCAGTACAAACTTTGTAAAATGTTTTCTACCCAGGATCGATGTGGAGCCTGAGGGTACAAAGGTCTGATTATTCGTTGGAAGCCAATTTCTTTGAAAAGATTAGTCACAGACTTGGTCAAGACCTCAGTTAAGACTAAAGTGTTACCATGAGGGGAAAAGGCAGGTTTCACACTGACCTCAAAAAGTGCTTGAACACAATCTAAGGAGGAGGCCAGGATGCACGCGGCCATGGTAATGTAAGTGCTGGCCTCCTGAGATGACAGTGAACAGGCCTGAGGACCTGTGCCCACCCACACTCCCAGGGCCATCTCGCTAACTCAGCCTCACCTTGGTGGGCTAATACTCTAACAGCCCTCAGAAAGCAATTCCTGGTGTTCCTTTGAATCTACAGGTAAAGTGCAAGGTCACTTCCAAGTGTATCTACTTTCTTGTTTAGCTGCCACTAAAACATGGCCGTATCTCTTCCTGTCTCTTCCTCTAGTGGGTTCACAGCACCAGCCATGACTTCCCGGGGAGCTGGCCGGCTGTGGGTCTCTGGTACAACTGCATGTCCAAAGGAGCTGGCCTGCCCCGGGCTGCATTCCGCAGGAGTGGGTCATCTCATGGTCCCCAATGCACAGAGAGGAGGGGCCCGCACACCCGTCAGCCCCCTCCTTGCACCTGTGAGCACAGATGGGTTTGCATCCTTCCGACCCGACAAGCCACGCTGCCAGAGCAGAGCCCAGGGGAGGCCAGGCCAGCTCTTACCTGCCTGTGCAGCTGTGATGAGGGCCGTGTTCCCCTCGTTGTCCTGCCAGTTGACGTCAACGTGGGGGCACTCGGCTAAGGCCACCACAGTGTCCACAAAGCCATGGTAGCAGGCGACAATCAGGCCGGTCTAGAAACGAAGAGGGAAGCGGGTCAGAGGGGCACAGCCTCAGTGTCCTCAACCCACCACTGACCTCCAGGCGCTGGATAAGTGCCACAAGGACCCCCAGTCCCCAGCTCTCAGTGACACTGTGGAGCAAATCACCTGCTGGCTCATGCCCAAAGGTCTTCTGATCAGATGGGAGGGAGGCATGGCGGGTGGAGAGGTCGGGGAAGAGTCGGCTCCCGCCTTCGGGAGTGAACTGCAGGCCTCGGAGACGCGTAAGCGCTCGGGTGATCCAGACTGTAATATGGGGCGGAGGCATGGCGGGTGGAGAGGTCGGGGAAGAGTCGGCTCCCGCCTTGGGGAGTGAACTGCAGGCCTCGGAGACGCGTAAGCGCTCGGGTGATCCAGACTGTAATATGGGGCAGGTGGGATGTGAGTACAGGGCAGGATGTGGGGCAGGGAGACTGGGGAGAAGGGGCTGTTGGACCCAGGACACGAAGGAGCCGAGGGAATGAGCCTGGGGGACATCGAGGGGAATCAGCCCCAGAGAGGAAACACAGAGCATCCTCAGGACGCGCCTTCCCTGGGAGGAGTCCACAGCCTGCAGGGACGGAGCAGGGTGAGGGGGAGGAGCCCCTCAGAGCTTAGGGGAGTGGGCTGTCCACTCTGCTTCAGGTCTGGCTGCGGGGCCAGAAGCAGGCTCCAGGAGACCAGGAAGGTGGCAGTGGCCGTCAGCCAGCAGAGGACAGAGGAGAGACACGTTTGGATTCCAAACACCTTGTGAAGGGTTTTGCTATTAGAGTGAACATGGTTTGTGAAAGGAAGACAAGAGCCCAGGAGGACCCCGAAGTTCAGGGTAAGCAACTGGGCAGATGCAGCTGCCATCAAAGGAGATGGAGGAGATACGCGGAGCAGGTGCTGGGAAAGATGGCCTTGCTGACTGCCAGGAGGAGACCTGGGGAGAGGTGGACACTGTGTGGCCCTGGGGAAGAGGTCCAAACAGGATAGAGAAGCAAGCCGAAGGTTGATTCTGGAGAGCTGGTAACTAAGTAAATGCCAAACCATTAGGCGAATGCAATATTAATATCCGAGACCATAGACAGAGAGTCATGGCCGACGTGCACACCATCAGCAACTTTATGTAGAGGTGGCCTGATTTTCCCCGTGTCCTCTGTTCCTAGAAGGGCAAAAGCACTTGAGCTCCTCTAGGACCTCTGCTGAACAGGTGGACGGCAAGGTCCACCCCAACAGCCTGAGACCACTGGTCTCCAGCAAGACAAGGAAACATGACCCTATTGGCGAGCGAGGAGGAGAGCAGAGGACAGGCTGCCATGGTGCATGGGTGAGGGGACAGCGGACGACAGGCTGCCATCGTGCATGGGTGAAAGGTCAGCTTATGACAGTCCCACCATCATGCATGGGGACAGCAGACAGGCCTGCCATTATGCATGGGTGAGGGGAGAGTGTATGTCAAGTTCGCCATCATGCACTGGTGAGGGGACAGTATATTATAGACCCACCATCGTGCACTGGTGAGGGGACAGTGTATAACAGGCCCACCATCATGCATGGGTGAGGGGACAGCATATGACAGGTCCGCCATTGTGCACTGGTGAGGGGACAGCAGACGACAGGCCTGCCTTTGTGCATGGGTGAGGGGACAGCATATGACAGTCTGCCATTGTGCATGGATGAGGGGATAGCGTATGACAGGCCTGCCATCGTGCATGGGGACAGCAGACGACAGGCCTGCCATCGTGCATGAGTGAAAGGACAGCTTATGACAGTGCCACCGTCGTGCATGGGGACAGCAGACGACAGGCCTGCCATCGTGCATGGGTGAGCGAGGACAGCGGATGACAGGCCCACCATTATGCATGGGTGAGGGGAGAGTGTATGTCAAATTCACATCGTGCCTGGGTAAGGGGACAGTATATTACAGGCCCACCATTGTGCATGAGGACAGCAGACAACGGGCCCGCCTTTGTGCATGGGTGAGGGGACAGCAGACGACAGGCCTGCCATCGTGCACTGGTGAGGGGACAGCGTATGACAGGTCTGCCATCATACACATCTCCAGCAGCAACAGCATTGAGACCACCACGAAGCCCCTGCCGGCTGCCAGGCACAGCCTCCCACCTGCACGTCTAACACAGTGACCTTGAGAAGAGACCTGTCACCTGGTTCACAGGATGGCCTCTGTAGCCTGCAGCCACTGAACTTGCCTGGGTCCCTTAGCGAGGGACACAGGAAGCCAGAATGCAGAGCTGAGTCTTGGTCCCCGCATCCCTGCACTCACTGGTGTCCTCGGGCCACGACCGACAGGAAGCAGCAGGTCGTGGAGATGGAGACAAATCCATCCATGTGGCAGGTCCCTGGCTCACTGTCTTCAGTGCCCACTGGGCCCTAAGCCACAGCGCTCTCTGTGGGGTCCACAGACCCCTTATGAGGTGAGACAAAGCAACTCCACCATAAAACTGTCAGGGCCAAGGGCCTGCAGCCAGCCTCGTCCATCAGCCAAAGTAAACGCCAGGCCACCACGTCCTCCGGGAGGCTCCCCAGAAAGGCTTTCCTATGGAATGAACTGTGACCCTGCAGGTTGAGATGTAAGTCCTGACCCCCGGGCCATGAGCGTGAGCTTATCTGGAGACAGGGTCACTGTAGATGGGAGCAGTTAAGACAGGACCACACCTCAGTAGAGTAGACCCCATCCAACATGATACAGGAGACGGGGGAGACACAGGGAGAAGCCATGTGACCTCATGGCCATGTGACCACATGGCAGAGACTGCAGAGGACACTGAAGGCTGGCAGAGGCAGGACGAACTCTCCTCTGCTGGCCTCGGTGAATACGGCCTCCCATAACCCCTGGGCTTCAGACTTCGGATCTCCAGACGATGGGACAAGAAAGTTCTGCTGTTTGGACAAGAAAGTTCTCGGCCCTAAGAACTCAGCCCCCTTTTACCAACCTTGATCCCCTGTGCACAATGATCAACTCTCCTCTAAACTGGCTAGTGTCACTCTTCATTACAGGACAAATCTCAAAAGCGCCACAGTGGGGGTGTGTTTGTGGCCTCCAACATTCATCCTCGCCTCGGGTTAACATGGCGCAACTGTTCTTTGGGAATGAGTCACTCTGAGTCAGCCCCTGTTTGCACGGGAGTGAGCCTTCCCCCTTCCAGGGATCCCAGCCGTCACCTCTCCATCCCTGAGCACAGGGACTGGGTTGGAGAGGCATGTCACCTAACGGGGACAATGACAGATACAGGGGTTGAGCAAGAGCTAAGGGGAGAGCTTCCGTGGCTCTGGCTGGAGGAGGGGGCAAGGGGGTGCAGGGCTCTGGCAGCCACTGTGCTCTGCTGCTGCCCAGGAGAAGGTGGTGAAGGCGGAGGGCGAGGCTCCAGTCAAGGAAGGCAGAGCGGAAAGACAGAGAACCCGGTCCTGCAGCCACGGTAAGGGCAGCTGGATCAAGCCTCACCTGACATGGTGGTTCTGGACTTTCCAATTACGTGGGGTGATGAAACTTTGCACCTTTCTTTTTGTTGTTCTTTTTTTTTTTTTAAGAGAGAGAGAAGAAAAGATGATAAGTTAATACGAATTGGGTTTTGTACGGTTGCCATGGAAAGATTCCCAGTTCATGAATGCACTTGCCTTATCAGCAGCATATCATCAAAACTGCCCGTGAATGTGAGTCACACTGAAGTCTGTGCTGGCACGAGCAGATTTTTCCCCCTGTGACTCCCAGGGAAAGGGCTCTCCCCCCCTGGAACTCTGTGACATTCCCTGTGGGGTCGGAGGAATTCCAGAAGCAGGGTTTACTCTATCAGTCCATCGGGTCAGGGGTAGGAGGAAGGGGTGGGGACCCTGTGCCGTCCTTTAAAACTGCAGAGTCTGAATACCCAGGCCCGACATCGCCAGCACACACGTCCACTCTCACACACACGCACGTCCCCCACACACGTGAGGAAATGACCAAAGGTCAAGAAACACAAGGCCAGCGGAGGCAGCCATTGGTCGTAGAGGGCACTGCCTGTCGGATCCCTACCCACAACGTGGTGATGTTTGGAGGTAGAGTCTCCAGGGTTTGAGGTCAGGAAGGTAGAGCCTCATGAAAGGCACCTTGAAGATCTCTGTAGCCCCTTCTGCCACCATGTGGGGACCCAGAGAGAAGGTGGCCGTCTTCAACAGAAACCAACCCTGCTGTCACCTGATCTGGAACTTCCAGCCTCCAGAACTGTGAGAACTCACGAGCCTCGCAGTCTACTGTGTTTGTTACAGCAGCCAGCGCTAACTGAGACACCTTTTAGCAGGCTAAGACTCGGGTCCACCTCCTCAGACGTGCAGATGCAGTGAGACAATAAAATCCAACCCAGAGCTAAATCTCAAGCCACGGCCAGCACGTCCCGTACACCTGCCACTGCTGTGGGACATCAAGTTCAGAGCAACCTCACAGTGGCCCAGCACGACTACCACCAGATTCTTAATAAAAACATCATTTTTCACAGACCCCCACCCCCTGCCTGTTATCTCAATAAGCCTCCCAGCGGCCCTCCCAAGAGGACAGGAAATCACGGGTGTTGTTTCAAGTTCTAGAGGACACCCATGATAGATAGGTTTCAACATGGACATCCTCACCACATCCTCAACTCAGTGAAAGCCGTCCAACAGAGCATTCTCTAGCGGATGCACCCTCTGGAGTGATCCATTCATGGCGTGAAAAGGTTTTCAATAGTTTGCTTTTAAAGAGAAAAGAACATGGAGTGAGCGGCCGATCCACAACGAGCTCCTGGAACTTGCAGTTTCTCTGCTAACCGGGGCTCACGCTGCCGGCTCCTCTCTGCAGCGGGCCTGTGCTGAGGGCTCCTGTTGCACAATGGGAGGGACACCTGGGACTCCAGCCGGCTCCCAGACCTCACTCGGAGCCTGTCTGGGTGGTAGGACTTCTCTGCTATGCCACGATTTCCTGCATTAATAAGACAGACCCATGGAAACAGGCCCCTCGGCAGCATATTTCAGAAGCGATT